CAGAGAAGGCTGGCCCTGGTCTGGGATTAGTCCTTCTTTTCCACCTTGGGAAGAGGAAAGAAATCTCTGGTTTCCATCCATGGTTCCTCAGTTGTATTGTGGACTCTCAGCTAAAATGTAATGTCATTTTATCAATTATGAAAACATAAACTACTAAAATATATCTAAGTAATCCAAATTGAAAGAAAATCACCCTCCTACCAACTACTAAGATTAGCCATATGCACTATCAGAAGATCCCAAAGGTGCCAAAAGGAGCTTGATCTGAAGTTCTTGCTTCCTTTTTAAATTTGCAATTCAATGCCAGCACAAGTTGAGATAGGGTAGGATGTGTCCACGCCTGGAGGGTCTGTAGGTTTTAAACATAGCTGACACCATTAGAGTCACTTCAAATGTATGCTGTGAGAGAGATAAAGATGTATCGCTTAGTTCACTCAGAACAAATCCTGAAAAGCATGTCCTTTGTGACTGTGGCTCTTCTCCATGCTAAGGTGACTAGTGATGATATTTGTGAGTTATCTTTTCCAGCCCACAAACCACCTCCTCCGTAGCTCATTTCATTTCCTCATCAAAACAATCCCAAGAGGCTAGAAATCTGTTGTAAAGAGCTCCACTGAAGAGATAAAGGACCTGAGCTCAGAGGAAGTGGCCTTGCCCACAGTCACAGGTGAGGGCCTGTGGGACTGGGTCTTCCAGGATCTGTGGCTCTGGGCTGTTACAGTGTTGACTGTCATCAGCCTGTGGTGCTTTGTTTCCACATTACTAAGTGAGTTATTATCTTTCACTCTGCTAAACTGGAAACTGAGCCCTGCCTCCCTTCATGGAGAGACAGACACAGGTAGCTTTCTTATGAGAAAACCCAACACGGGTCCGTCCCACATCCTCACCCTAAGGGAGAAGGCTCTGTCTGTGCCCAGCTCAGGGGGGAATAGTGGGTGAGATGAGGTGCTGTCCTCTTGAAGCAGAGCAAGAGGGCCACTTTGGAGAGGGAGTGATGGGCTTCACCTGCTAAGCCTGCAAACCTGCTGAGTATCTGGGAGCTGGAAGAGACAGGCTGGGTCTGAGAGCCCTTGGGCAGGCACTGGCCCATCTGAAGGTCCCCATGGAAACTCCAGGCAAAGGGAGAAATGGGCTTCCCTGGGTACCTGTGAGCCATAGAGCTCTGTCTCTGATTCTCCATGTCATCCTTGCTGCCATCTCGGATGCTTGACCCTCCAGTTCCACTGTGTGCAGCTCTCCTGGCCCACTCGGGCTGGCGTCTTCTCATCCTTCCAGGCTGCCCTATACCTCTCCTGCGGGGTCTGGTCCTCTCAGCCTCTGTCCTAGGGGTCCCCTCCTCATCCCCAGCACTGCTTGCTCTATAGGAAATCCCAGAAGCCCACGCTGGCCTCCTATCTAAGCAGAGTAGGGCCTCATTGGACTCCCCATGGCAGCCCAGAGCCTGGGGTGGGCCAAGTGCAGGAAGGACTCCCCACAAGGGGCATAGCTTTAAGCTGCCCTTCATCTTATCTATGTAAGATCTTCTGCAGGGACTTCATCACCCAATATTACTCAGTATATAAAGTCCCAACTCCAGACTGTGGTGGAACTGGTCTCTCAGGATGAAGTGTCCATCCGGTTCTTTCACTACAGGCTTGCCCTACCACCCTCCCCACGTCCGTTCCCTGAGCAGAATGTGCAGGGGATATTCCTAGCATTGGACCACCCAGCATCCTGGGCCTGATCCCTGATGCTAGAACTAATGTTCACTGGAGACACTGGATTCAAGCCAGCCACCTTGAACAGTCTTCTCCCAGCCAGCTGCTGTGGCAGGTGGACAGGGAGCTCGGGCCAGGTGCATCCTGAGAAGTTTAGTACCAAGACTCTTCCAGGAGGCATCCTGGGAGCAGTCAATAACTTCTACCACTACTACTACTACTACTACTACTACTACTACTACTACTACTGCTACTACTACTACTACTACTATTGCTACTACTACTATTACTACTACTACTACTATTACTATTACTACTACTACTACTACTACTACTACTACTACTACTAATAATAATAATAACAACAGTAACAACAGGGATGTACTGCTGACCAAATGTTTGCTGAGACCCAGCAAGCTATCAACCTGTGTCACCAGCTCATTTAACTCTCAGAACAGCCTTGGGAAGAGGTTAATTTTCTTCTGGGGGTGCTGGTGGGAACTGACAGGGACTAGATAGGATAAAAAGAATTACTTGGAAAGCAGCCTTTTATTCCCATGCCCCTGGGTATTGTGGTTAGAACCGGGCACCCTATACTTTGTCTCTTAGGAAGTTCATTTCTGAGTCAGATACAACAAAATGTGGGTTTTTTTCCCCCCAACAAATAGTTCAAAGACACAGTTTTCCTGATAGAGTACTATGTTGACTTTGGACCAAATATAGATCTCTCCCCCTTTCTCTTCATTTTTATAATTGTACAAATTGCCCAGCCAAGGCAAGCTTCCCTGCAGTCAGAAAGCTATGGAACTCTGCTGTTCAACATCACTATTGTCACTCAACAATGCCCAGCTTGCCGTGTCAAGATTGTCCTCACACAGCATCCAAAATAATGCTTTCTAATTTAGAAAAATGTTTAAAGAGTTGTCAATATAGTGCCATAGTTTTTGTGACTATGGGTAAGGATGAGATGTCAAGAGAGAACTGAGAAATGAAGGAAGCGGCCACTTACGGCTTCGTTTCAGGATGACCATGACTGAAACTTGAAGTGCTTTTTCAACTTAACAGCATAAGTTGCTGTCTAAAAAAATTTTTTTTGGTCTTTTTGAGACAGGGTCTCCCTGTAGCCCCAGCTGGCTTGGAACTTGCTATGTAGATCAGGTTTGAATTCAGAGATCCACTTGCCTCTGCCTCCCAAGTGCTGGGACTACGGGCGTGCGCCACCACGCCTGGCATCTAAAATTATTTTTAAAAAATCCTGAATTGTCACAGGCTCCCAGTGGTTTTGAATATTATTAGAAGAATGTAAGCTATCTTTAAGAAAAAACTTGACCCATGCAATGACTACAAGTTCTTCAAAGGTAGTAATTACTGAACTATAACCCACATGTGATTGAATTCACATGGTGAAGGTATGAGTTCAGTGTGTTTTAACATGTACACAGAGCTGTACAAACAGTACCACCATCTAACATTGACACTGAGCTCCATTGGCCAGTCCAGCCCCAGCCCCACTAGTCTATGGTTTGAGTTTTCTCCCCTCAAAAACTCATGAGCTGGGGATGTAGCTCCATGGTAGAGCACGTGACTGCTGTATCTCATCAGAATCTGTTTATTGCCAATCCTTTCAGCAATCTATGTGGAGGGGGAAACTGGTTTGTCTAAGGGATATTGGGCTCTCTGCTTTGCAACACTGATGGTTTGGCCAAGTGCCCTGAAATTCCTTTTCCTAAAGAAAGAAAGTTTCTTTTGTCCCTTGTATTAGTTACTGTTTCGTTGCTTTAAGCAAAATACCTGACAAAAACAACTTAAGGAAGGAAGTTTACTTTGGCTTCTAGTTCCAGGGGATACAGTGCATCATGGTTGGGAAGGAATACTGGCAAGAGTATGAGGCACCTGGTCACACCACACCCACAGCCAGGAAGTAGAAAGTGATGTACGCTGGTGCTCAGCTCGCTCTCTTCTTTTTAAACCAATCTGGGACTCCAGCCCATACAATGGTGTCACTCACATTTAGGGTAAGTTTTCCCACCTCGAATAACCCAATCTTAAAAACTACCTCACAGACATGCCCAGAGTTTGTCTCCCAGCTCTCAAGTTGACAGTCAATGTTATCAACCAAATTCTCTTTGGAAGCAAATGGCACAACTTTCCCACTGTGGTGGATACCTCAAGGTACTTTGGGTTTGTGTAGTGGTTAATATTGATTATCAATTTAACTGGATTAAAAGAGGTCTGAGAAGTTAGTAACAGATACCCCTGGGTGCTTCCAGAGTGGATTAGTGTCTGGGACAGCAATTCAGTGGGGGAAGACCAGCCTTGAACATGAGCAGTAGCATCTAATAGGTAGGTGCTGTGGTGGGACGAAGGTGGAAGATAGAAGATGCTCCTTAGCATGAGCTCACTCTGTTGCTTTCCAGCTGTCATGAGGTGAGCTACTCTCTACCTCATCCTCTCTTGTCATGATGTTTCTGTCTTGCCACAAATTCTTGGTCAGTCTTTCTCCGTCCTCAGAATACCTTTCAGAAAAAGGCACAGCTGCATTAAAGCACCCTCACGGTCACAAATGTTATTGTCTATTTGTCATAACAGTTCCAGAGAGAAGGGAAATTCACCCCATTGTGGACCAGAAGTTTCCAACGCGGTTGGATTTCCTTTTGTTCCTCATAACAGGAACGTGCTGCTCTCCCTGGCAAGTGGCTGGAGCTGTCTTATTCACTCTGTCTGGAGAGGTGGGGGTTCAGTGTCATCTCCTCCACTGTCCCCTCGTTTGTCTTGGGCAGCAACCTATGATTCCACCTCCAAATTTACTATTTCTAATGTTTTGTGAGTTGGAGAATCAAGTCACCTTGTGTGAATTATCTTTAACAGTAGGTTATAAATGATGGCCCAGGGATTCTATTACCAGCAAGAGGACTAAGATTTAGTGCCAGAACACTGAAATATTTAATTTGACTGCTCAGGGGACTTTAAACTACTGCTTCCTGATTCTGAATCCTGTCGCTGCTACATGACATTGCTCGGCAGCTCTCTGAAGAGTGTGGTCACTGCCCCTTCCTCTCTCTCATTTCAGACCTAACCCCTGGCCAGAGGCCACAAAGGACAGACAGAGCCCTGGCAACATGTCACAATCATCACCAGGTCTTGGAGCTCCACCCCACCCTTGAAGGGGACATGGCAACAAAATCGAGTGACAATCCAAAGTGAAACATAAAGTCATGTCTATCTGAATGTCCAGTTAATGATGACACCCTAGAGGGGAGAGCCAGGTCTCTGCCTCCCTGATTCCAAGCTCCCAGATTCCCAGACAGAGACTGGCACACACAGGGTGGTCAAGGAATAAGGATGAATGTGACTATCAGTCTCTAGCAAGAAGTACATAGGTAGGTCAGGGGGTGACCCCTAATCTGGCACCAGGGTCAGGAAAATTAAACACTCTTGGGTCCTGGTTTTCTTATTGAAAATATTGATAAAATAATATTATCTACTATAGCCACACCTAACCTTCTGACATTGTAGAACAACCTTGTTATCTACAAAGTTTATGCTTAAGAACCCCAGAAATGAGTTACAAAAAAAAATATCTCACTGTGTTTTAAGTTCAAGGTTTTGTGTTGGGCTTCATTCAAAACTATTTTCAGTCACGTGCATGATCTGTTCCATAGAACTGATTTGCAAATCAAATGCAGATAACCACATGTGGTATTCAAAACAGGCCTAGAAACAGCCAGAGTTCAGTGAGAAGTAGGCAATATTAATATTATTAAAATCACAATTTAAGAAGGAAAATAAAGTGCAGTCCATCCATATATTTTGCTTTTCTGCAGTTATTACAAATAGTGTTTATATGGGGGCTGGAGGGATGGCTCAGCAGTTAAGATCACTGGCTGTTCTTGTAGAGGACCCAGGTTCAATTCCCAACACCCACTCAGGGGCTAACAACCATCCATAACTCCAGCTCCAGGGGAATTCAATGCCCTCTCTGACCTCTGCAGGTATTACATGACATGGGTGCACTTACATACATGCAGGCAATACACTCAAAATAATAATACTATAATTATTGTTTATATTTTGTGTTTATAAAATTGTTTAATACATGAAGGAATTTTTCTATTTTTTTCCAAATTATATATACTGCATGATTTCAATTCTTCATTTTAAAAAGCATTTTATTTGTTATTTTTATTTTATGTATATGAGTGTATTGCCTGCATGTGTATAAGTGCACCCATGTCATGCAATGCCCACAAAAGTCAGAGGGGGCATTGGATTCCCCTGGAACTGGAGTTACAAATGGTTGTTAGCCACCATGTGGGTGCTGGGAATCAAACCCAGCTCTTCTGCAAGAGCAGTCTGTACTCATAACTGCTGAGCCATCTCTCCAGCCCTCAATTATGCTTTAAAAATAGTAATAAAAATTCAAAAGGAAATATGACAAAATATTAATAGTGGGTAAATCTGGATAATGAGAGTATATGTAACTATTTTTACTTTTTTTTTTTTTTCTGTTCCCATAGGTTTCCCAGGAAGCAGATAACTGTCTCTAAAGTTATAAATGCAGTACATCAGGGATGCAAGTTGAGGAAAAGATATACTAACCAAGCTCCAATCGTCTTCTTGTAGTGGCCTCAGCTTGGCTGCACAGCAGAGTCCCAAGGAGCTGGCTCATACCCCATGCAGGTCACATACCACAGGCCCCCACACCAGAGGGCACTGGCTCTGGGCATGGTCGTTTTCCAGCCCTGGTTCTGAACAGAAATACAACTGAACGTCGCTTATCAGACTCTGCACTCTGCTAGTGCTCACTCATGTTATCTACAAATAGCACCCTCTTTAAAGTCCCAAGCAGAGGCTAGGCGCAGCTCCAAGGTTAACGCAAAGGAGAACAGTGTTTCCTTGCTTGAGTGATCAGGACCTGGGTAGGCAGAAGAGGATTCCTTCATTGTCAATCTCAGAGTCGCCAGCTTTCTATCCTTATTTTCACCTGATTTGTAGCTCCCTCCATTGCCCATCTTGGCTGCTTTTAAGAAGTAAGGAAGAGGGTGGTGAGATGGCTTAGAGGATAAAAGCACTTGTTACACAAGACTGACAGCCTGAATTTGATCCCTAGAACCTAAGTAAAAAAGCTGGGTGAGGTGATGTACTGCTGTCATCCCAGCACTCCTATGGCAATAGAGGGGGCAGAGGCAAGAAAATCTCTACAAACTAAAGGACCAGCTAACCTAGAGTATGCAGCTTAACAGAAACAAGGCAGCCCTAGCTTCAACAGAGAGTAAATAAGAATAAATATAGATAAAATCTTCCTTCTCAACAAACACCCAACCAAGCAGAAAAGAAGAAGTAAAGAAGAATAACAACTACAGAGGAAATGGTAGAGGCACCAGGAAAGTTCTGTGTGGGCACAGGGCAGTGACCACTCTACAGAGAGTAATAATGTCAATGTAAAGTCCCCAATCTCATGCTACATCTCTTCCTAAGCCTCACAGTCCCCTCCAGACACCTTTACTGGGGGTTAGCATTCTCACACAAGAACTCAGGAGGGACACATTCAAACCAAAGCACAGAGTTGAACATGTTCTTCCCAGCACTCACAAATAAGTCAGAAGCACTTCAAAGAATACCCATTCCTAATGGCTCAATGGAGGGACTTTGAATGTGAGGGTGCTTCAGGGTCCGCCACTCTGTGGCTCTCTGTCCTGGGCTGTGCGATTCCTTCACATCATTGCCAACCCTACAGAGGTCCTGGAAAGGGAATCAAGAGTACCTGTCTGCTTCACCATTGGTAAGAAGCCTCCACCCTAAATGTCAGTCACAGAAAGGAAGAATGTGCCATGGTTGTCAGAGGGTCTGCAATTCCTTCAGAGGAGCTATTAAGAATAATTAAAGAAAACTGGGCCTGGCTTGTAATCCTACTTTCTTGGAAGCTTGAGAGAGGAGGATTGCAAGTTCAAGGCCTTCCTGAGGTACAGGGCAAGTTTAATATCAGCCTTTGGCAACTTAGTGAACTCCTATTTCAAAATAAAAAGTAAAAAGAAGGCCAGGCATGGTGACACACGCCTTTAATCCCAGTACTTGGGAGGCAGAGGCAGGTGGATCACTGTGAGTTTGAGGCCAGTCCGGTACACATAGCAAGTTCCAGGCCAGCTGGGGCTACAGTAGGGAGACCCTGTCTCAAAAAGACCGGAAAAAAAAAAGAGTAAAAAGAAGATTGGGTTCCAGGTCAGTCTGGGCTATGGAGTGAGATTAAGACTCAAAAATAAACAGTGTGCTCTCCTCCACAAAGCACTGCCTCCTTTAACCAGCATCCCTGGGCTCCTTTGGAGATTGCAAATGGTGAGTACCTGAAGGCCCTCTAGAGTCATGCAAGACCCAAGGACAGAAGAGCTGTACATACCAACTCAGCTTTGAAGTTAACATCTGATGATCTTCTTTATTTGAAATAGAAGTGGAGAAAGACAGAGGTGAACGTCTCACTTTGCTAATGTTCCATACAATTTGGATGTGGAGAGCAAAGAGGCCCCAGCTACTGTGGAGGACCCTCACATTCCTTTACAGGAGTCAGGGTGACACCTACACCCTCTTGAAGTCCCTGTGCACACTAGAGGAGAGGGCTTTCGGCGTAGCCACAGGAGAGTCCACCTCTAAGATCTGGGTGACCAGGTGGCTCTCAGACAGAAGCTGGAGATTTAACCTCACCTTGAGCCATGGTCCCTGTCTGCAGCCCCTTCCCTGCTCCTAGCTCAGGCAAGCAACTTTTTCTTTCCATTTTAATTAGTTAATTTATTTTTATTTTATGTATATTGGTGCTTTCCTGCATGTAAGTGCACCTGTGTCATGCAATGCCCATGGAAGCCAGCAGAGGGCATCCAATCCCCTGGAACTAGAGATACAAATGGTTGTTAGCTGCCATGGGGGTGCTAGGAACTGAACCTGAGTCCTCTGCAAGAGCAGCCAGTGCTCTTAACCACTGAGCCATCTCTCCAGTCCATTCTTTTATTTTTTTCATTACATTTATTTCTTATGGATGTGTGTGGATATTTTCCAGAGTGTGCCTGTGGAGATCAGAGGAGACAGCTTGTGGGAGTCAGTTCTCTCCTTCCACCATGTGGGTTCTAGGGACCAAACTTAGGACATCAGCCTTGGTGGCAGGCGCCTTTACCTGCTGAGCCACGTCGTAGCCTGCCTTTCTTTTCTTTTGGGGTTTAGTTTTGAAGCCTGGTTCTTTGAGTTGTTAGCTTTTGCTTAGTTTTTGAGGAGTCAAGATTTGAATGTGGTATATAGAGTTCAGATGATCCCCAATCTATTCAGTCTCTAAAAGCAATGTGACAATCTCGCCACATATTTAGAGGTTTAAAAATCACGTGTTGGGCTGGACACATGGCCCAGTGGTTAAGAATACTGACTGTTCTTGCAGAAGAGCGGGATTCGCATCCCCGCTAACAACCATAACTCCAGTTCCAGGGGATCCGACAGCCTCTTCTGTCTTTTGCGGGCATTGCACGACATGGGTGCACTTATCTACACACAGGCAATACATGCATACACATAAAATAAAAATAGCCAGGTGTGGTGGTGCAGGTCTTTGATCCCAGCACTTGGGAGGCAGGCAGAGCTCTGTGAGTTCAAGGCCAGCCTGGTCTACGTAGTGAGTTCCAGGATAGCTGGGGCTACAGGGAGACCCTGTCTCAAAAATACCGCCCCCCCAAAAAAAATTAAAAAAAAAATCACATACTGTCCTTGGGTCAGACTTTGTGCTCCATCCCTGCCTGTTAAGGGCTCTCTGCTCCAGGCACATCTGGCTCCTCCTTGACAGAAGACTGTCCTCATGGTACATCCTGCCCCCAAGGGGGTCACCCCTCAGGCTTATTTCAGAAAAGGTCAGAGGTTAATCAGATTGTGGCCCTATAGATAGGCAGGCAGTCACCCTGTCTGTGTGCCGTGGGAGAAGAGGCAGGAAGTTTGGGGACTGCTTTCCAACAAGAGGAGACCCCTCCAGGGAGCCTAGGAAACTGCCCAAACCCTTAGCAGCATGTTTTGCTTCCTCCTTTTTGAAATATTCAGGTAATTCCAGAGCCACTAACTAGGTCAGTCTGACCCAGCTCCCATTCTGAGCACAAGGCAAACACTAACACGGCCTCTACACTTTTGGCCAGCAAAAGAGACTTGCCCAGGGAATGACATCAGCAGGCTATTGTCAGAGAAATACTGTGTTACAGGGAAGCAAAGCTACTGGCTGAGTCAAAGTTACCTCTAAACTCAAGCCCTAGGCGTGGCAACTATGTGTTCTTTGTCCTGAATGCTCAGAACGCACAGGCACTTCAGAGAAGATGCTGTCACAAACTTGTTCTAGGTCAAGTCCATTCAAACACAGCGTTTCTTTCAGGCCCCAAAGCCCCAAACTGAAGCCTCCCATGCTGGCTTTCTCCTAACCCTAACTTCCTTCCTCCCCCAAATGTCCCAGGGTGGGCTGTCAGGCTAGAAGTTCTTAGAGATGCAGATAAACTCTTAAATAGGTGTGACTCATCTTTCCCAGAATCTCCACTGAGATTGCTCAGCCCTTGCCTTTCTAAACACTTCACAGTTACAGGGAGGCAGTAGTTTCAAGAAGATCCCAGAGAAAGCAAATAGAGGGCGCATGGAGATTTAAGGAGGTAAATGAGGACTCACCGTAGTGTGAACACGCGTGCCTTCTCTGTGGAAAGTGATGCCTGCAGTGTTGGCCACTTTTAATTAGTTTGTCTAATTGGCCCTTGACTGGCCATCACTGGACAGCACTGTGGGGCTGTCTATAGGAGACCCCATTTCATTAACCATTGATCCCAGTCTGCTCAGGGGTGTTATCAGAATCCTTGAGCAGCTCTGGGAGCATCATAAACATGGGCAGTGGAGGAACAAAAGTCAGCATGGGCGTGCAGAGCCCTCCAAGGAGGGTACCAGAAGCAAACTCTCAGAAAAGGGAGCATAAAAGAGCAAGCAGTACCAAGAAATAAGAGAAAGATTTCTACTGCAGCAGGTAAGGAAAGCACAGAAATTACTTCAAAGCAAGATCTTCCCTGAACAAAGAAAGCAAGGATTTTATTCAGAAAGCCTATCAATATTCATGAAGGATGGATCTTCAGTGGCAGGCACATTCCTGAGCATGCTCAGTTCAAGGTCATAGCTTTGGTAAGATGGTGAACCCAATCTTAGGTGTGCTTAACTCAGGGTTTGGAGCGTGTGTTCAAAGGGAAAGCGGTTACAGGAATACTGGTATATGTTCAGATTGCATCATAAAGGTAGCAGAATGCCTCTGGGCATACTCAGCCTTCTCCATAAAGTTGTAGCAGTAAATAAAAAGTAACTGTTTTTAGAGCAAGACCCTGGCTCCAGCAGCCGAAACAGGTTAGGCCTGGCCACCCATCCCAATAAAGAGATGAGTAATGATGAAAAGCAGATTCAATGAGTGTGTTGGGAAGAGGAATAAAGTGACTCAGTTCATCTTTAGGGTACTGACATGAGCTTTGGGCTTAAATAGAGGAAGAATAGGAGCAGGGCAGGAGACAGATATATATTTAAGTAGTCCTAGTCAAGGGATGGGCTTGTTGATCGTCTCATTTCTAGTTC